GCATTAACAAAAAAAAATCAAAACTATGTATTTTAAAATATGTTAACACAATGTAAAACATTTCTTAGCTTAATTCAGAAAAAATGTTTGTGACATTTAAAATATGGTCACGCGTAAAAATTATGTGAATTTTTTTTAAAAAAATTATACAATGTAAAAAGTATTTGTGTAATTCCAAAAATATTGTGTACCATTTAATAAAAATGTACGTTACATTTAAAAAAATGCTCACACATTTCAAGAATATGTTCATGACATTTTAAAAAAATATCCATACAATCTACAAAAAGGTTCCCGAAGGTTAAAAAAATGTTTCATATCATTGAAAAAATATTTCACCATGTATTTTATAAATGTTAAAATATATTAAAAGCAAGTGTTTGAAACAGTGTTAATCATATATTTTAAAAATGTTAGATCTGTATAAAAAATGTTTAATATGTATACAAAAAATGTACAATGTGTATGCAAAAATAGACACCAAAAAATATGTACTTGAAAAAAACTTTTAATCATGTATTTGAACAATATTAAACGTCAATAAAAATATTCCTAATGCATAAAAAAATGTAGATATTTGTTAAAAAGGAAAAAAACAAGAAAGGAAAAAAATGTTCACGTAGTTTTGAAATATCTTTATGGCCATTACAAATGTTTAACATGTATTTGGCAAAAGGTTTAACATTTATTCGAAAAAAATGTCCAAATATATACTTACAAAATGTTCACCGTGTGCTTAATAAATGGTCAATGTGCATCGAAAAAATATTTCACATGTACACTAAAAATGTAGATTGTGTAAAAATAGACATGCATAAAAAAAGAAAAAAAGAAAAGAAATAAAACACCATAGAAACTGGTGAAGAAACGCCAACAAACTAATGATAGCTGATGAAGAAACAAAGAAAAACATAAACAACAAAGAAAACCAAGGAAAACCGGTGAAGAAACGAAGCACAAGCAAGAAAACCACGAAAAACGGTGAAGAAGCGATGTTAAACAGAAAAACCTAAGAAAGACAGGGAAATTCGGTGAATAAACAAAGGAAAACCAAGAAAATCAAAGTAAAATGATGAAAAATTGAAAGGCAAAGAAAACCATGCAAAAAAATGGAAACAGAAGAAAAAAAAAACCTTTTTTGAGAAATTAAAAAAACCTGCTATAAGATTAAAAAAACCATGCTATACTACTGGGCTGGCCCACGACCCGGCGCCTGAGGTGAGGCCAGGCAGGCCGTAGGTGGGTGTCCAGCCTATCAACGTAAGTTGTGCGACTCTCTGTTTGATGTCCAGTTCATTTATGCGTTTATCAGATTCTATGCGCACATCACAGCATCCATGAAATCATATATTGTGCCCCTCAAAAAATTGAAATTATATATTTTTCTAGGGTATTTATTTCCTGTAATTTTATTCATGAGTTTAGGAGTTCAAATGTCGAAGCTCACAACCTCACAAAGCATGCACTTTCATTAGGGGCGTCATGTTTGGTTAGCCCAACCCGGCAATCTCTTTTTCATCCATATAAACATTATGACTGGTTAATAAAAGCTTCGCGAGTTTGCCTCAATTTATTTTTAGGCGATCGTCACACCAGCCAACCCCTGCTTTCACTCTACATGTAAAGAGAAAGCAGCCTGCTGAGGAGGAGTCCATGACCGAAATACAGTTTTGTCACCTTGGCATCTGCAACTTCACGTGCACAAAACCGGAACATCACCTGGGGTTTTATAGTTCAGAGTTGAGTGCACTGAGCAGGACTGTAAGCGCTTGTAATAATATACAGTTGTAAAAGCTCTTGGTTCTAAAGAAAAGAAGCATCTTAACAGGCTTCAGATTCGATATCAAAAGAGACCAGCTCGACTATATACAATGGTTATCCATCTCCGTCCCTGATGTTCGTGTTCAGCTTCACTTTCTCCATGCAGCCAAGATGAAAGTTTAATACTACTGTAGTATATATGGACTGAGCTCTGAACTCTCAAGATACCACCTACGGAACAATCCACACGTGTTGCCTGGTGTTGCTCCCTTGGTCTCGCACACTCGCCCTGCAGCCCAGGCCTGCGACGCCGTAGAACAAAAAGAACCACTCCACAGTCCACACACAAGAGGTGTCCTGGAGATAGGCGTTATATTCCTTCACATCTTTCTTTACCAAAAACAAAAAGCGCCCCGATTCCTCCAGCTCCTTCCCTTATTCCTTCTCCCGGGAGCTCAGGGAGGGAGAAAGAAAGAGAAAGCATACGATTCCAAGCACTTACTTAACAAGCAACAACTGAATGTAATGTGCGCAAAGATAAAGTTCTCCTCCACACCCGCTTTCACCGGATTCAGCACGAAAGATAAAGCTATGGCCACAAAGTGTTCATTCCATGAAGTGCACAGCAGTTTTAGTTTATGCTCCTCATGACCGGCCATCATTGCTCACCATGCCCAGCTGATGCTCGACGAATCTAGCAGCGACTTGGAGAAACAGATAAGCACCAGCATGCCGCAGTTGAACCGGAGCCAAGGTACATATATCATATCGTGGGTGGGTACCATTTGCATCCCTCAATATATAAGTGAACAGAAAGGACTTATAATTGGTAAGCACATGGATTCCCTAAACAACTCTGGAGAAGACTGGTTGATCCAGATAACAGCAACCCAAATATACAAATAGCAAGCTATAAAGAACAACAAGGGATGTTATCTTGGATTGGACCACTCCTATTAGTTACCTTTAAAAGAATAAGCTTGTCAAACTTTTCCTATGCACACGGTCGCGCAGTATCAAAATTACAGTTGATTCTACTTGATTTACTATACATGAACAATTTTGTAAATTTCCCGTCAATTTTTCCACCAAAAACAAGAGGGGGCATCCTGCATCTGTGATTTGCAGAATAGCTTGAACATCAACTTGATTGCAGAGCAAACGAAAGGGTCAGATGACCACATGTTATATTAAAATCTCACCAATTAGAGTGAACTTAAATTATTATTATTGAACTGTGCCGACTACTCTCTCCATAATGAGAACTTTGTTCCCAAATTACAGAAGAGTATTCTGCACAACTTTTACTTTATGCCAGTTGAACCTATCTATAACTGAACTTGATGCATTTTCTATCAAAGCATGGAGAAAACAAATGATGGAAGTGAGACTGTAAGAAAACAGTCAGCTGTACAAGGACGTATGTGAAGGAAAGGCAACATAGAGCACTGAAATCAAGAAGCTAAATCGTAAATTTCAAGCTTACTTTATGTGCCTTATGAACTAGCAATCAAATTCAGAATACCGCTTCACAAACATGCACATCTGATCAGATTCGCCTATCCACTTTAATTTTTCCTGATAGCTGAACAAGTAAAAAACTTACCAGAGGAGACAAAAGGGAACCATATGCTTATTCCATACTTTGCTTTTGTGCAGTCCCAAGAAAGGCATCTGTAATAGAATGAGTTCCTTCTTCGCTTTATTTGCAGGCAAAACTTCATCCAATTCTTCTTCTAGATGCATTCAGTCAATAAGAAATTTAGCAACCCCGTTCTCATATGAACCAATAAATATATGCCGTAATAAACTGTATATCATGTTTGAGTATGCTGAAAATACATAAAGCAATACCATATGTGATTATGAAAATGCAGAATCATAACCATAAACCAATGCTGACCAAGTACAGATGCCCACAGTGTAAGTGCAGTGGACAGTGGAATTAGTTCTAAGCAAGCAAGAGGTAATCCAGGAATCATGTAAAGACAAAACTACAGCCACCGCCTAAAAGTTGTCCAGAGAACAAGGCTCCCTCCTTTTCCTATAAGGCTGATAAATAACATGACCGCCTCTAGTTTCCTCCCCTTTCATGTGTGCCAAGTGAAAGCAATATAAACCATATTTGATAGTGCAGAATGAGAATGCTGGTGTGTTCTGGGAATTGACAAATAAAAATATTTGTGCGCATAGGGTCCACAGGTACCTAAAGGAATAAGGATAATATCTCTTTTCAGTTGCTGTGAAGATTGGGTCAGGCTCAAGTGTTTCTTCCATCGATTCGAAATTCTTTCCTCAGTTGCCTGCTTTATAAGACTGGTGGTACCTGCATAAGATCTTGATATGAGTAGTCGTAGAGGCGTACTTGTTTAGAGCATAGGTCATCTCACTCTCAGCAAATAGAACTTCAAGGTTTGATGAACCCCTGATTACCAGAATAGAGAGCTCATACAGCTGCAACAGACAGTTCCTACAAGGATTGTGCAGTCACAAGCATACATCACCACTAACAGGAACTGAAAGAGGTACAAGTCTATGAGATGTGTCAAGTGTCATGCATGTGAAGTTTAGTTTTGCTCAATATATTGCTATCTATCCAAACCTGCAATATGTTCATGCAGATGTATCATCATCAACAACAGCTCCAGAGCCACAACCAGCTCTTAGCTTCTAGGCAGACTTTCCCTTCAGAGAGGCACTTACTTCTGCAAGGAGGAATTATTCCAGGAGAGTCAGGGCTTATACTCTCAACTGATGCTAAGCCCAGGTTAAAATGGACCCCTGAGCTACATGATCGTTTCGTGGAGGCAGTAAATCAACTCGGCGGACCAGACAGTAAGTATGCATTGAAACAGTTTTGCCACAGAAGCAACAACTGTAATGATGCTAACATCTAAACACTTCAATTTCCGGCAGAAGCCACCCCAAAAACCATTATGAGGCTCATGGGTGTCCCTGGACTAACATTATATCATCTTAAGAGCCATCTCCAGGTATCCATAGCATTTTATTACAGTGTTTTCTCTTCTTTTTTACAGAAAAGTATATCATAATTTTCTGCATGCATTTCTTCAAGCAAGATACTAAATTGTTTTGTCTTTCACCTAGAAATACAGACTAAGCAAAAATCTCCATGTTCAAGCCAATGTCGGAAATTCAAGAACTGGTAAGTATAGCGCAATCATGTTATGAGCCTATCATTAAGCTTGATGTTGACAACTTTTTTTTTTCATTCAGCAGCCGTAGGATGCACCATAGCAACAGAGAAACAATCTGAAGGAAATGGATCGCCAGTCGGCCACCACCTTAATACGCAGACAAACAAGTAAGACATAAATGAATCTATTCTTGTGCGTGTTTACAGAAGGTAACAACTTGCTATCTTATCAGATCAATGCACATAGGTGAAGCCCTACAGATGCAAATTGAAGTACAGCGACGGCTACATGAACAACTGGAGGTTCAAAAGCAGCATAATATAAACTATATTACTTACAAGAGTCACTTCCCTCTGCATAAATATGAGCTATACCTGACTAATGCACTTAATGGATTACTTCTTGCTAGTACTATAAGTCCATTATGGCTGACCATCCAATAAATGTAGGATGCATATATATATTATCTAGAGACTATACACTAGAAACAGGAAAAAAATAGCTACAAGAGCACCACGGGTATATACAACTACATACAGAAAATTCAACAGAAAATTGTGGACGATGGAAGCAAAAAGCACCATCAAGCAAGACCAACTTATCTTTCTTTTTTTGAGCCTCAGACCAACTTATCTTAACCATCATTTGGTATTTTAGTATTTTATTAGAAGTAAACTTCAAAGGTTGTGCTAATATCATTTTTTTAAATACCGATATTTTCTTCTTGATATGTAGAGTAATGAAAGAGCATGCAAGGAAAATCAGAAAAATTGTGATTAACTGTAAATCCTTAAGGCAACACTTTCTGTATATTCCGGTGTGAAAATATTGGAGCTGTGCTCCTTTGCACTGCGTGAACATGGTCTTTCTATGTAAAATAATGCTTATATAAGGTAGAAGTTCACCACAGCTTTAATTCTCCTGAAGGGAAGAAATAAATGGTGTATTGCTAAAATAGTGATGGTCTGGTATCTAATGCGTAACGAATTAATGATACCCTTCAACAGGTGCAAAGACACCTGCAACTCCGGATTGAAGCACAAGGGAAGTACCTACAATCAGTGTTGGAGAAGGCACACGAGACACTTGCAAAGCAGAATACAGGCTCGGGTGGTCTAGAAACTGCAAAGATGCAACTATCAGAATTGGTCTCAAAAGTATCAACAGAATGCTTCCATAATGCTTTTACAAGCTTTGAGGAGATTGAAGGATCACAGATACTACGAAGGCACACCATGCAGCTTGGTGATGGATCAGTTGACAGCTGCTTAACTGCATGCGAGGGCTCACAAAAGGATCAAGATATCCTGTCAATGAGCCTTTCTGCTCAAAAAGGAAAGGAGATTGGAGGCATGGCATTCGATCTGCAAATGCAAGAAAGAGGACACGAGGATTTGTTTCTCAACAAGCTAAGCAGAAGGCCTCCAAACCACCATGAAGGACACGAGAGGAGAGACAGCTTGAGTATGACATACCAGGCAACGAAATTGGATTTAAACATGAATGACACAAATAATGGAACCCAGAATAGCGAGAAATTCGATTTAAATGGGTTCAGCTGGAGCTAGGAAACACACAAGACAAGAGTGCCAATTTCATAGTAGTGAGGTTATGTGAAACATAATGGTTCTTCCATTGACATGCATCCCACTGGAAGACCTGGAAAATCTTTGCTGTCAGCCATCGCAGTTCACCGAAATAAGTGATGGAAATTGACAATAAGATGCTTCTTGCAAGCCACATAAGTAGGCCATGTAGATTCCAGAGAAAGTATTCGAGAACTATGTTCGTTCTCCTTTATTATATGCTTTGCTGTGATTCTGTACCATAGAAATACCACGAATTTTGTTGCAACCCCATGCCCATGATGATTTGCATTGGATTGGTAATGCTAATACGTCATGCAAAGGCTGTATGCGCGTCAAGCCATCAATAGACCGGAGAAATCCTCTCCTACTTTACCTAAAATGATACAAGTAATAAATAATGTGCCATTGCCTGACCCTGCTCACATCTAATGGATCTGCAAGACTACAACCCATACATATATAAGGAAAAAAAGGTTAAATCCCTACACGGCTACACCATCCGTGCGCCGGTCCAGTCTTGATCAGTAAAATACTGCGAGGGACTTGATCATCTATTTGCTATCACGAATAATCGTTTGCGGCGGCTACGAGCTAGTGGCAACCGGCGACGCACAAATCCAAGCCACAGTCGCTGAAACAACGGCTCCAGTTGCTTCCACGAGTCACGGAATCCATGAATAGCCCAACAAATCGCAATGCTTCATA